TCGCGGTAAGACGAGGCTACCGAACCCGCCGCGGCTTTCTCAACCACGCAGTCTACCGCAACGTCAGATGATCCCCGTTGGGACCACATATACTTCCAACTACCGATGGGTAGGGTTCTCCTGTGCACCTCCTTGGTGGATGTCTTAACCGCCAGCGCTGCTTGGGCCTCGGAGGCTACAGCCAGAAGGGCCAACTTCCCACTGAGAAGGCTCTCGAACCAACTCCAACCTTCACTTGCTTCACGTGCTTTTAAACTGGCTCCCCCGCCGTTCGACTTGTAGAGACGGGCTTGGGCGGGATATGCAAGGGAGGGCAGGAGGATGCAAACACCGCCGGACGTCCTGATGAGGACCAGGGCGGCCGCGGCCAGCAGACACGCCGACGCCAATCTCGCCGCGGCCCTGCAGCAGCTGCGCAACTCCGCGATTGACGCGGAAGCCAGGGGCGCCAGGGGGAAACCCGCGGCCCTGGCAATAATCCTTTTGCGCGAGTCGCGTAGAGACGGAGGACGCGCGTCATTGGGGCTCGAATTTCGGGCATCCAAAGAAGCGCCAATCTTATTTGGGGGGGAAGGGGGGAGGGGAGGCACGTGGAAACAATGGTTAAGTTCGTCGGGCAACTCACCGAGGCTGAAGAGGTCGCGCGATAGGAGCCCTACTAGAGCCGGCGGCAACTTTTTAGCAGCATAATGAATACCGTCGGAAGCAGGGCCACATGCTGGGACTGAAGGACCATCCTCTAAAATTGGGCATGGGAAACTGCCCGCGCGACAGAAGTGCCAGCGAGCTGGGCGAATTCGCGAAATTTCTCGAAGGTCACGGAGTCACGGCAGAAGCGGCCGCGCACTTGACCTCGATACTGGCGTAGGAGCTCGGCGCGCATCCGAGGGCCAGTGCGAGCCTCGCCAACAGCGTCGCGAGTCGAAAGTGAAACCTCTGTCGCACTGGGGGCCAGCGATCGCTTACAACCTTCCGTAATCATCACCACTTAGTGGAACCGTATATCCCTTGAGCTCCTGGAGCGCATCGAACATCCTCCGACCCCAGCGCGGGCCCCCAGACCCTCCAAGCGCCAGGCAAGCTGCTGGGCGGAGGCGGCGGGCTCGTGCCCAGCACGCGCGCTCGGCCGCCCGCGACAGCCTTCGCGGCATCTACCAACGAAGCGCGAGGGTTGCCTGCGCAGAGCCGAGGCGCGATATCGATATCTGGCCAGAGAGCCCGCAGTGCATCTTAGAATCCCTTCGCCATAACAGTCGCAGAAGGACGCCTAGGTCTCGCAAGGGAGCCAATGGGCGCAGCGCGTTGGGAGCGCCCGAGAGCCAGAGGAACGAGCGCAAGACGATGGCCCAGGGGCTTCCCGAGATCCGAGACGGGCCAGGGGGTCGTGGCATACGGGTGGCCGAACAAATCCGACGATCGAGACGGGCTGCGCTGACGATGGCCCCCACCACGCGTCCGAAAGTGGGCTGGTTTCCCCGCGGGCCAGCAAGGCAGAAAGCGCGTTGCCAAAACTCTTGGTAATGGGTCCAATATGGTCAGCATCAGCATGCCAGTTTTGAATGCGAGTGCGATCGCCTCGCCCCCCACCGATAAAGCCCCTGCCCCCCCCAAAGAACAAAAAAACAAAAACAAGCCAGGCGCAGGAGGGATCCCTGAGGACAAGGCGGCCCGAATCGCTGCATCTCTGGGTCCGAATTCTCGGGGTCGGGGAGGTCGGGGCCGAGATGGCGGTTCACGATATGCACGTTGCAAAGATCCCCCGGAGCGCTAAGAATATGAAGGCGGCCAAGAATGATGATGGCGTGGCTAATCGTGTCGGACTTGTTGGTCAGCTCGCGGTGAACGAGTGAAAGAAACGGGGTGCTAACGCGCCGGAATCGCGCGGCCACCTTCGTGCCCATGCGCTTCTTGGGAGCCGTACCTGTGAAATGCCCACAAATGATGGAGAGCGACGCGAGTTTGCCGATATGATGGCGACGAGGGCCAGATACAGAGCAACATCTGGCGCAAGTGAGGTCCAGATACAGAACAACATCGGGCGCAAATAATCCAAAGTGCCAACCGTACAAAAGCTGATGGACCCTGGGAAAGAGGGCGCTGACTGCCGCGCAAGCGATGTCCGCCAACACTGGAGGCGACATTGGGGCACAACATATTCCCGCAGAGGAGCCACGCAACATAGTGCGACTTGGGATGGATCAGTTACTCCCAAATGTACAGCCTGCGTGGGTCGGATGATCTCGTTGGCCTGCTGCCCAGCCATGCGGATCTCACTCGGGCTCTCCAGGGTGGGCTAACTGATGTACTCGTCTAGCGTACTGCAGTTAGCTTCGACGAGAATTGCTGATAATCAGGTGGAACTCGTCGCGCGAACCTTTTCTAGCCCAAGGCCTGACCTGCGCGCCACAGCCCCCTGGATGTGATGTGTCTTTAACGGGCTGCCACAGCCTGCCAGGGACGCACTGTTTGTCGCGATGGGCTTCGAGGGGGTATTCTTTTTAATTTGACTGGGTGCGCCATGCTGGTCCCAAGGTCAAGCCAAGTAAGGGGGTCATCCCTCAGGTAGGCGGTGAAATCCTGGGCGCTGGCCTCTGAATTGAAGCGGGCGCTGTAGTTCCAGCTGACTCTGTCGAACTCGGCCACGATGGAGAGCTGCTTGCGAATGATGTCGACGTTCTGGTCGTGGACGCTGAAAGCGCTCCTCATGCCATGAACCTCGTGCTCGAACTTCTGTTCTATGAGAGAGAGATGCAACATCGGATCCCTATCAGGGTGACGCCGTCAGTGCCGATCTGGCGCGCTTGATCCATCAGCACTCAGCAGCGACGGGGGAAGCCCTGAGGGGCAGAAGGGCGAGCAGGGGGCCATGCCAAGCAACGAGAGGCGATCGGCGAGCGCCCCAACTTCCGCAAACGGGAGCAGGGAACGCACCGTTCACCAACCCGCCGGAAGGTACAACCCCCCGAGGGGTGGAGGAGACGCCAATGGCGGAGGAGGAGCGGGAAAGGCGAGAGGAGCGGAAGAGACGAACGATGGACTTGGTGCTGGTGGACTTGACCTTGCCAATCAACTCGCGCATCCCGCTGGGGGCGCGCTCGTGGGCACGCGTCGTCCAACTGTCCAACTGGGACCCCCCGTGCGTCCTGGCGAAACTGATATGTCACCAACATGGCTTTGACGTCTGCGGCCAGCTGCGGGTCTGGGTGGGCTGAGATTGAAGGAGGGGGGGGGGCGAGCGCCGCTTTGACCCCGAACTTGAATTGGAACCGTGACTCTTCGCTTTCTGGACCGTGGCTGGCGAAAAGAACCAGGAGACCTGCAACATGCAATATCACAACGGTGTGGCGCAACATTTCCTGAAAAACAAGCAGCCTCGGCCCAGAACCCACGGCAACGTCCAAGCTCAAACCGCCGATGCCTTACGGCTTGAACCTGGGCCAACATGGCGAAGGTTAGGAGGGAGGAGGAGGAGGAAGAGGAGAAGGAGGAGGAGGAGGAGCAAAAGCAGGAGCAAGAGGAGGAGGGATGGGAACGATAAAACGGGACGTCCCTGGGGCTTTGTCAGACCCCCTCCCTATCTTGCCCATTGCCTCCCCCCCCTTCCCCTTGCACCGCTCGGTTTGGCCTTCTGCTTTGATGTGGCTCCGAACTCACTTGCGGGCTCCAAGAGGGGGGCGCCCAAGAAAGGGGTCCGCGAATCATGGCCCAAAGCACGCCCGGACGGCCAAAAAGAGAGACAGTCGATACCCTCCGCTATCCTCCCACCCTGGCCCGTCTCCCTGCCATCGCTTGGATGTCCACTCCCCGTGCATTTGTCGGTTTCTCGCGTGTTTTTTCTCGCAAGATGGTCCAAGATGCGTCCGATCCTTCGGTAGTCCCTGATGGTACGATTCACACGTCCGACCGATGTCAAGTCAAGGCGCGATCCGACCAAGACTCCGAAGACACCAAAGACAGTGGCTGCGAGAACATGCATGACGGGAGGCCCCAAGAAAGCCGAAGACGAAGGACAGGCACAGCCACGGGTATCCTGAAGAGGAAACAGGCAGAAGGTATACGCAGAAACTCTTGGAGGTTCGCGTGCATGTCTTGGATGGGCGCCAGACTTCCCTGCCTGGCGCGCGGAGCGTTCCAGGGACGGCGCCGTATACGCCGCCAGGGGGGGTCCAGCACCTGCCCAAAACTCCGCGCGGACAGCCGAACATGTTTTTTGCTAATCAGATTTCTATGTTCCGAGTCCTTGGAAATCCAGAGCGGCGAAATAGAGGGAACTGCACGTCGACAAGCCCGAACTCAGCACGGACAAAATTGGCTCAATACCCAACAGCAAAAGCTGTTTGAAACTGAAAGCGGTCGATCTTGGGCAGGCGATTGTTGTCTCAAGCAGGCAGCTTCCAAGGCGACACTTGTAATCTATGGAGTCTCACGCAGTCTGGCGAGCGCTGGGAAATTTCGTTTACCGATAATAGGGGTGGCTCGGAGACGGACAAATATCAAGTCACAGCCAAACATAGAACAAAGACGTAACAACCTATGCTTTCAAACTTCTTTTCCTGATGTTCCACATTATCATAATGTGTAACGCCAGCTCGAAAAAAGGAATCCATACACACATACAAACATATATGTTATAAACCATAGTATATATACACTTGTATCTACTATGTGTCTTTCGGGATGCCAGAGGCTCTGCCAACTAAACACACAACCAATAGCTAAACATAGATGCTTCCATTGTTTAAGACATGTTGGTTTGCATTGTCTTGCTGTCTTCCATGATTAGCTTCGCGGGATGCCCGGAGCTTTGCGCGCAAAAGGAATTCCGTTGTTGGAACCTGCTGTCTGAGGCCCGGAGATTATAAAGCGAAACCGATCGGCTCCATTCTTTACGTGCCTACTTCAGTCGCACCCAGCAGAGGCATGGGCCATAGCTTTCACCAATTGGTGCCTGGGCCAGCAGACTCCGCGCGGGCAGAGGGGTGTGTGGGACCCCTCCCCTCCAGCGCGGTCGCCATCGTCACTCCCGCTGAAGGCCCGTCCTTGGCGAGAGGGAAAGGGGTACTGTGGCAGTGTCGGGTCGGACGACAAAGTGAGGGAACGATAGGGGTGGACGTTAGCAGGGGATGTAATTTCGAGGTTCCAGCTTATCATATGTTTTCCTGCAAAGCCCTGCGCCTTGCCGAGGGCGTTCCTGGGGTTCCCGGATCAGCCCAAACGGCCGCCGGAGACCAGAGTTGCGCCCCGAACGCCTCGTGGCAGATCGCCATGGCGCAAAGAGGTCCTGAGGGAACAGGTCCTGCGCTTGTTCGCCGTTCTCAAGCTCTCGGAGCCCTCCCGTGGCCCAGAGACCCTGGGTAACGGACGCGGAAACCACCAGGGCACCAGCTAAGGGGGAGAACATCGAATTTGAATCACCGTCGACACATCGCGGATAGATCGCCGACAGGCCCCCGGTACTGGAACCGCACGCTCCTGGGCGGAGTGGGCTACCAGGTACTTCTCGGCGATGAGTGGGCGACTTGGGGCCGATGCTTCCCCCCATTGGCCAGTCTCCTCCCCGATGGTTGCCCCTGCAACGGGGGGACAGCACAGGCCGGCAGACTGAAGACTCGAGCCTGGGGGACCCGAGCTTGCCCGACGGGGCCGTCAGACCCGACGGGGCCTATCCTGAAATGTGCCGCACCCCCCCTGCAAACATCCCGCGAAGATTAGTTTGTCGGGCGCTGCGTAGAGAAGGGGGGGCGATGCGATCAACGGGTGGGGCGAAGAATGGGGCACTTTTTTGAGCCCTGACACGGAGCCCTGGAGAGGGCCCAGCGGGGCACCGTTCTCCCCCCCCCTCCCCCACCCATTCATCCCACCAGTGATTACGCGACGCCCGGACTGGACTGCCCAAGCCCCCGCTGGGCCCGCCAACGAACAGCGGGGCGGCAGGGCCGAGCTGCGCCGCCGCCGAGGAGGTGGAGGAGAGCGCCCGGCGGCGGGGCCGACACCTGCTGCACGCAGCAGACTTCGTGCCTCCCGCCCCTCGTCTCTTATACTCCTCCCATGTGGTGTCCGACGCGAGCGCCGCAGGTACGCCCGGTGTGTCGGGCCGCCCAGGCAGATATAGGACGGAAGGGGTAGAGGGCCGCGCGAGGGGGCGCAAGGCTCGAGGATCGAGGCTGGGAGGAGCCGTCGGCAAGGTTCTGGGGCTTTTGGTGGCGCCCTGGGTGCTCCTCGTCACCACGGCCAGATCCGCTTGGACTTTCTGGTCGGAACGCACCCCAGGCAGATACCTAGGGGTCGATTCTTGGCCACCGGTCGCAAATATTTGCGCAGGGCCTGAGAGCGTCGGGCGCAGGTAAAGACAACAACTGTGCGTGCAACTCCAATGCAGTCAGGCTTTCCCCGAATCTCCGAAAGGAGGGAATAAGAAGGGAGCACGAAGATGTGGAGCGTGCCCGAGGGAGTGATTAGGAGGAAGAGGGGAAGCAGGAGGAGGAGGATGAGGAAGAGGAGGACAAGGCTAGGATAATAAAAAGGAGGAGGAGGCGGAGGAGGTGAAGGAGGAGGTGAAGGAGGAGGTGAAGGAGGAGGTGAAGGAGGAGGAGGAGGAGGAATACTGATCCCCACACGCCCCCATATACGTGAAGGGGGAAACCGGGGAGCGGCGCCGCACGTCGGGCGGGAGAGCCGTGCGGCCACCGCGCAGGGCCGGGGAGCTTCGAGCTCCGACGGAGCCAGGAGACTGAAGGGGCCCCAGGACACACAAATAAATACACACAAATAAAACTGTTCCCCATCTTTTCCCATATTTTCTGGGTTTCTGTCCTCCCCCCCACTTCCCATATGTTCCTATATTTTCTGGGAATCGGCGATGAATTGTGTCTGTGTGTCTTTTCCCCTCCTTAGAGAGACGCGGCCGCGGCGCGCGCAGGAGGCGAGAGGGCGAGGCTGGAGCAGCGGGGCGGCCGGCCCTGGCAGCGAACGGCTCCCTTCAGATCCGGGCGTCGCAAGACAAAACGCCGCGACGGCCAGGCTGCCCTCGTTGTCGGCCCTCCGAGGCCGCTTCCCGGCCCTGGACCGTCATGGGGGCGACTGGGGACGAGAAGCCGGCCCCCGGGGAAGCGGTCGAGGCCTGTTGGGGACCGTGCCGCGAGACAATCGCAGCGTCAGGAGGGGAGGTCCAGCTGCGCGCGGCGGAGCGAAAGACTGACCCGTCACGAGGATGGGGGGAGGGCCGAGATGTCGGAGGAAGGCCGATTGAGACAACGGCACCTCCCAGGGTCCATCCTGGCCCGTTTTACGGGCCGCATCCAGCAGTTGCGACGAGAAGCCCTTGTGAGGCCACCAAGAAAAAACAAGAGAAGGTTACCGTTGGCTGCACTGACATCACTCCAGAGACGGGAGCAAATGTTGCTCGACGCGGAGATCCCCCCACATGTGCACCTCGCTTCTGGCGAATTCCCTGCGCATGAATCCCTGAGGCGAACGAGCTGCTAACGAGCTTGGGCGACTGACTACGAGCGGATCTAACTGATAGCGAGTCTGTCTGGGCATGAGTGGGCCATGAAGCGCGTACTACACCGCTGGTCCGTTTGACACCCTTTCCTCCGCAGAATCCGGCTGGAGGCCCGCGGAAGGCCAGCAGAAACTGGCGCAAGGCATGCGGAAGCTGGCGAAAGGTCCGCGGAAGCCGTCGAACGTAAAATTCGCTCCCCAAGGAACGCAATTTCCTCGATTAGCGTTTCCCTGGAGGATTCTCGCGACGGCAGAAAAAAGCTCAGGAAGAATCCCACAAGGGAGGGCGGTAGGCCCCAGACCGCCCAGTCCAGCAGCCTTTTGTCGGGAGCGGCCAAGAGGGGGGTGTCCAAGAGGGGGGGGTGCAAATCATGACCGGCGGCATGTGCGCGGCCCAGCTGGGGGGCCAGGGACGTAATGGAATAAGAAGAGGTGCCATGAAATCTGGAGAAATATCATGGCCCCCGCCATGATATCCCCACCCCCCTAGTCATCACCCCCCTCTTTTCCGCCCCCGATTTTGGCCTGAGCCACAATTTATTCCGGCATCGGGCTCTCGCCTCAATGACAGGTGCATGTTTGGTCTGGGCGGCCACGCTCCCTGTGAAAATCGCCCACCTCGGTGCAGTTGGCCGCGCTCTCGCCCCTGCCCCGGCTGCTCTCACCCCTGTCCCGGCTCTTCACCTTGACTGCTGTTAAGACGCTTTGCCGGGGCAGCTTCTTCGGCCGAAGCACCTGGAACGGGCCACGTGGCTCCCAGACTGGGACCAGCCAGGGCGAATCCAGTTTGAATCCGCGGGCGCCACATGGTTCAAGACCGTCAGGCGCCAGCCGAGCACGCGGTGGGGTGCACCGGGAGCAGGCTGAGGCACGCAGGCGAGCGTGGAGGAGGGAAGAAGCCGCTCAGACCATGGAAGTCGACGCGGGGAAGCCGTGGTGGATGACGCAGCTGCGCCCGAGCAGTGGAGGCCCCAGAGGGAAGAGCAGGGGATTGGCAGAAGTGCCCCCCGGTCCAAGCGCCAGGCCCCGTGGCGTGCGCCCTGGCCCAAGGGGTGCGGGGGCCTTCTGTCTGTATGGGCTATGGGCCCCCGCATCCGCCCGAGAGAGGCGCGCTCATCCCTGGGGCGGATGGTAGGGGGGGGGACCTAAAGGGGGCTTGGAACAAAGAGCCAACAACCTCCCGTCGTGATGTTTTGTTCCGACGAGAATAGGTTCGGGCCTGGGCACTGGAGGCCAGCGACTCTGTGGGATGAACTCGGGCGGGTGGTATTGTGAGGCGACCTGAATGGAGGATGCCCCGCCCACATTACCACCCGCCAGATCATCCCGCAGGACCGCTGGCCTCTGGTGCCCCCACCGACTCTCGTCGGCAAAAACCACGACGGGAGGTTTTTGGCCCAGGACCGTCCGAAGAACAACTAGGAATGACAGACTGGTCTGGGGGAAAAGATCCTGACCTCAAAGGTCCACGGTGTGAAACAACGACGTCAGTTCTGGGGACGACGGAGATCGGCCGAGTTGTCCGCCCGCGCTTTGCGTACAAGATCAGAGCAACAATCACGGCGTCCCCGTAACTGCCACGAGTAATCATGCAGGCCGTTCAGGCTGACTTGTCTTGCAAGGCCCGATCGGACCGAGACCCTCCGTCAATGTCTCTGTAGTGGCAGGGGGGTATCAAGCTTGATGGGCCTGCAGGCCGTTGTTGGCTCTTGAGGTAGTCAACACGCTTTTTGCCCGTAGTCTGCACGACTCTTCAGAATCGCGCGGCTGGAAGAGCAAGAAATCTGCCAATCACTTACCCGCCCGGGGAGGGTCCTTGGGAACGGCGCCCTCCGGGACGTTCAGGTGGACGCTGGCCTCGTCCAAAAAGCTGTTGCCCACGTCCTTACCGCAACAGCTTGGCCGCAGCACCGAGGAGTCAGTGGCCAGAGAACGACGACAACAACGTTCATTACGAGATTTCTTGGGACAGACTTGCCGTCACCGACGTACAATTCGCAAGACAACGCGTCATACCTGGGGATAACTCGTAGGCGGGCTGCATGCGGGCAATCCAGTAGACCGGCTGGAATATCAGTTTCGTCCGTGCCATCATCTGATCCCTTCTATCCCGAACGCATTATACCACTGGCACGGCTTGCTGCCAGTCACCGTCGCCAGAACAATCGGACCCCTGCTGGGACATGGTCCTGCTCCTCCTCCTCCTCCTCCTCCTCCTCCTCTGGCTCAATATCTTAGCTCGCCACCATCCTACGCATCCACTTCCTCGAGCAAGTGGGAGCCTGGCGCTGCGTATGTGCGCATCGGCCTCTCACGTATGAGCGCCAACCGCCAGCGAAAGCACGAGCGAGACAAGACAACATCTCGTGAAAGGCGGGCACTGAGCGCACTCTTCGACCACAAAGAGGATGAAAGGGGGAAAAGGAGCACCAGGAGGAGGGAGATGTGAAGGAGGTGGAAGCGACGGAGTGAGGAAACGTCATCGACCCCGCCCAGCCCGTTGTCACACTCGCATGGCAGGTGCTCATGCAATCCGCGCTCGGCAGCCCTGTCTGCAAAACGCCGATGGCGACCGCTCGGGTTCCTCGCTGCAGCGCTGATGGTGTGGCCCCTTCTGGGTGTTGTCTCGCTCGTCGCACATTGGGGAACCAAACGTTACCGATACCGTTACTCCCCAGACCTCCCCCGGGGCGCGCTCTGACCAGAATTCCGACGCGAATCCAGGGGTGGCGACAAGTGCCTCCCACGAGGCCCAAAAAGACGAAGACGAGGGGAGGGCAGTGGTATCGGTACCTGTTCCTCCTGTGATTTTGGGATGTTCTCTCGCTCGCCGCACACGCCTAATACTGTCTAGTCGGCGTCTCAGGCCGACCATTGCGGAACAAACTCCCGTCGGGATTTTTTGGGAGACGATTTTTGTAGACCACCCCCACAAACAAGTTGGTCCGGCACAAGACCGTGGCGAGGGGGGTGCGCACAACATTGGCTTCTCCTGGGAACGCGATTTTTGCACACCACCCCAACGAAAAAGGTAGTCCAGCACAAGGTGCGCGCGCATCATCCTGAATTGTAGCCTGATGCTTGCTCCTGGGGCCCGGTGAGGGAGGGCCGAGGCTCGGGTGGGCGGTAATGGGGGGTGACCTGAATGGAGGTATAGAAAGGGGCCCTGAATGGGCCATGTAAGGCCCCTGTTGGGCCACTGCTGGCTTCTAAAGGGGCCCTAACGGACCCTTTTAGGGCTGTTTTCTGCCCCCCCCATTCAGGTCACCCGTAATTACCATCCGCCCGAAAAGAGGCCGACAATTGTGGAACGAACTCCCGTTGTGAATTTTGTCGCAACGAGGGAAGGTCTGGGCTGCAGGCGGCAACATTCAAGAATGCCTCCTCGAGGTGACATAATGACCGCCCGCAGCAAAAGGCACTCGGCGACAGGAGGATGGGGTCGGGGTCTCCGCCGAACTCGGAGCCGGGTGCGCAGGATGAGCGCCGAGGAGTTGAATGGGGGGAAGGATGGGGGAGGAGGATCAGGAGGAGGAGGAGGAGGAGGGAGAAAGGGCAGGGAGAGGGGGGCGGAGGGAGGGCGATGGGTGAGAAGGAGGGATAGAGAGAGAGAGAGAGAGAAAGAGAGAAAGAGAGAGAGAGAGAGAAACATAAAAAAGAGAGAGAAAGAGAGAGGGAGAGGGAATGAGACAGAGAGAGAGAGGAAGAAAGGGGAAACGGAGAGGGAGAAGAGGAGGGGAGAGAGGTGAGGGAGATGGAACATAAACAGGGAGCAAGGACATCGGAGGCAGAAGGAAGGCAAACCGAGGTGGAGCGGGAGATGGCGGGTACAATCGTCGTGCTGCCACGAAGAACGCCCGATACGGAACGAAAGGGCTGTTCCTGCGACGGCGAGCCTCGGCCACGAGTTGACTCCCCCATCTGGCCCTGCGGACCGACCCGAACACCCAGAGACTAAACCCGAAGTGGTCCTCATTTCCAGCGTCTCGGCTGTGCGCGAAGGACGGCATGGCCAGGCAGGCAAGGCGTCAAGCAGACGATGCGTGTCTGGACCGTCGATCGAGCTACTGATGTTACAATGCGCGGAGCTCCGAAACTCTCGACTTGGAGGCGGTCAGGGGGTTTGGGCTAGATGAGCCCAGATAAATCGGTCCAAGGGGGGGCATAGCCTCCTTTGGCACAACCCGCCGGCCAACCCTACACCTCCCTGGAGAGCCCAGAACAAAATTGTGCCTGCCTTGAGTTCCGTACGGGACGCACAAGATCTAGGCTGTCAAGAAGGCGTTTCATGTTAGACCCAGGCAAACTCACTTGCATAGCAGTTCCCCACCGACCCCCCCCAACCCGCCGCCGCTTCATGCAACGCTGGGCCGAGAAAGTGTGCACGTGAGTCCCGACTTGCGTGAGGTCCAGACTTCCTGTCGGGCCCCGCCACGGCCCCCCCCTCAACCTCCCCCCTCCATGCAAATGACCTTGCCAGGGTCTGTAGAAAAACAGCCTCCAACTCTTGCCCTGTACGCTCAAGAATGCAGGGGGAGCTTCTTGTATGTGTTTGGCCCCTGTCGGGCCCCTGGATGCTTCCGGGGATCTCCGGGGGTCAGGATCTGGGGCGGCAGCAAGAATTTGAAGGGGCCCTGGGACACACAAATAAATACACACAAATAAAAGGATTGCCCATATTTCCTCATATTTTCTGGGTGTTTGCCTTCCCCCCCACTTCCCATATTCTCCCATATTTTCCGGGGAGTGGACGATGAATTGTGTCTGTGTGTTTTCCCCCCTCCTGAGAACTATCAATCTGGGTGCACACCCTCCAAGTCAGCCTCGCCTGGTCGTCAAAATGGGCAGGCGCGGGTCCAGCTCTCGCATGAAGAGGCAGGCGTAGGTCCGCGAGATGGAGCTGGACTCGCCCATCACCTGACCGAGCTGCCCGGTCACCTGCCGCAGAGGAGGGGAGCCGAGGGGGGGGCCTCCCACCGAATCCTCCGCACATCCCGCCACCCCTTTGCCCTTTCACACTTCCCTCCATCCCCGCATCCTCAGACTCCTCTCCTACTCCTCATCCTCCCGCTTCACCTCCCCCTCGTCCTCCACATGCTCCTCCCTTCTCCCATCCGTCAAGTCCAACGTTGCGAAACATGTAGGGAACACACTAAAGCAAACACGCAACGGAAACCCTAGACCCCAACTCTCTGCGGCATCCCTCGAGCTACATTGATCCGTGAGGGTCCTGGGGCCTGAACGGGAGCGAAATCGACCAGTGTGAGCATTGCGACGCCTGGACCTCAAGGCTCTGCACCTTGGCATACTCCTTCCACTCCTTCTCCACCCTCCCTCTCCTCCCCATTCCTCTTCTCCTTCTGCGACTGCAACTCCTTCTGCGCACTTCTGACCAGCCAAAAAGAGCCCTGCAACAAGAGAGAGGGATGAACAACGACGAAGAAACGGCACGACACGAAGGAGGCACACCTCGTATGCACGGCCTGGTGGTCCGAGCGCGACTGCCAAGAGAGCCCCTCACGGCGAGCCCCACACACGCACACACACGCACACACACACACACACACACACACACACTGTTGGCGTCGCAACCCCGCGCGCAGCGTCCAGGCAGAGTTACACTCACAGACCCCCAACACACACACAGACGCCCCCCCACACCCCCGGCGCACAAACACACACAGACCCCCCCGCGAACTCCCCCCCGGCACACAAATAAACACACACAACACACACACACACACAACTCACACACACACAACACACACACACAGCTTTTACGTCGCGCGTGCAAGAGGGGAAAAAAGGGGGACGAGGCGGCCGCGAAGGACAGGTGGAGGCGAAGGGCACTCAGACGGAATAATTAGATGCACACGCACTTGTTTTTGCGTCGCGGCGCGGCAGAAGCAATCCGCTCGCGCGAGTAGCAACTCCGACACCCACACACACACACACACACACACACTCGTTTCGTGGCGTCGCGGCCACGCACGTGGCGCAGCAGCGTAGGAAACACACAAGTACACACGCCAGGCTCCGAAGGGGGGCACGGTTCTGCGGAGGCTGGGGCACCAGTGGCGGAAGCAGGTGGAGGCGCCTTGACCTGCGGGGGAGGGCTCTTGTGGAGGGGGGCCCTCCTGACCTGGGAGGCGCCCTGCAGTGGGAACTCGGTGCTCGCCCAAGCATAGGTAATCCTGGAAGAGGCGAGCGGAGGGAAACCAAGCTCGCCCCATCGCTTCGCAAGAAGCAAGGAACGTTGGCCATGGCCCCACGCGCTGGGCTTGGACAGTGTCGCCCCGCCTGGCCAATGGCGTGCAGTGTAAGCCTCCCAGCCTCTCACTCCGCATCCCCGTAGGTGGCGATGACGGCGGTCGTGATGCCTTCGAGGCGGCGTGTTGGCAGCGGCTTGAGGGCGGCCAGTAGCCAAAGGCTGCCCATGTAATCAACGGGATCCGCCTCGGCGGACGTCTCCAGCCTGGTCTCACTCTTGGCAGCGGTCGGGCCAGAGCGAGCAGAGGCGGCAGCTGGGGGCGGGTCCTCCCGCGGCCTGGGCTGCCTGGTCGGGGGGATTGCGGCGAGGCCAGTGCCCTCCCAGCAGTCCTGGCAGCAGTCGTCGGAGCCGCGAGGCATGAGCCGGTATGAAGCATAGGAGCACGGTACTCTGTGGTGGCCTGGAGGGCCTGCATGTCTGGGCTGCCCCGCTTCTACTTCTCAGTCGCGAGCGTACGCAGCGCAGTTGGGTCGGTGAGCAGCCCCTCGCCAGAGGCGTAGCAGACCAGCTGTGCCACGGCCCTTAAAAGACGACTCGATGGCAGTAGGGATGTCCGCGAAGACCTCGGTGGAGATGTGAGAGTCTGAGAGGGCGTCGCTGCGCAGCGTGAGCAGCGTGTGCCCGCGGGAGTGCCAGGGGGCACCAATGCCCAGCAGGGCCTCAGCGAGATCCACGACGTTGCTGCGGTCACCGAGGAGGGAGGGCGTGGTCATCCAGCTCCCTCAAGGCACCAGCGCACGGCTCGGCTACACGCAGGAGTGACCCTGGGTAAGAGTGATCTTTGGTGCGCGACTTTTTGGGGGGCCGCAGGGGGGACCAAACCTGGGCGCGCAAGTAGCTGCTACTGCCTCGTTTTTAGCCATCTGGGGACCCACCTGTGCCCGCACTTAAGGTCACTCTGGCGAAAGGTCACTCATTACGTCTAGTCGAACGGCAGGTGGCGAGCAAGTCGGCGGTCGGACAGAGGACGCGGGCCTCAGCCAGTGAGCACCGGTGCGCCCAGATGGACTCCGCCAGAGCAGTGCACAGTGCACGGGGAAGGAAGCTCCCAGTGCAGTGGTCAGTGGTGAAGGGGCCCTGGGACACACACAAAGTCATACACACAAATGAGAATATCCCCAATCTTTTCCCATATTTTCTGGGTTTCTGTCTTCCCCCCCACTTCCCATATTTTCCCATATTTTCCTGGGAGTCGACGATTAATTGTGTCTGTGTGTTTTTTCCCTCCTGAGAGACACGGCGGTGGAGAGCGAGGCGCTGAATCAGCGAGCCTGAGGCCTGAGAGACCGTGCGCGCCAGGTCGGAGCCGAGGCCCAGGAAGTGCGGAAGGGCTTGCCACCCGACCCACAGGCACACGCTCCCATTGTCGCAGCCCAGAAGGGGAGGAATGGCGCAGGCCAACTTGGAAAGGCGCTTGTGGTCGTAGTGTAGGTGAGGTGTGGGGGGGGGGGGGGCGTTGCCTGCGTTGAACTCGCGAAAGTACATTCGGAGCACCGAGGCAAGCATGCGCGGGCAACCGGGATGATCCACGAGCATGCCCAACCATTCGCCCGGCTCGTCGGAGGCGACGATAAGGGCGAATAGCCCAGGGACGGGTATTATACGTATGCCTCCAGGAGCCTCGCCGAAGACATGGAGCATCGGCGTCCAGGATACATGCAATGCCCTCCCCTCGGCTATTTCGCTTTATCGTCGCCTCCGAGCTCAGCGCAGGTCGCCGTCACGGAGAACCCAGCGGGTGGCAGTTCCTGCAGGGACCCCAGGAAGGACCGCTGCCTCGGGCCTGTAGGGCAACTTCTTTCGCGCCTCGCGCTCCGACGACCGTGCGAAGCGCGATGCCCTTCGCGCTCTCGCGCCACCCCCACCGCGGAACTGGATGGAGTCGAGGGACTCGCCGCCCCGCCCCGACGCCCCCGAGACCGCGGCGCGCGCCTCGCCCTCGCGCCCTCGCGGCCCCGGCCGCGGGGGCCGCCGCTGGCGCCTCGCTCCGCGGCCTGCGCCCGGTGGCCCTGCCCCGCAGGCCGCGGCGCGGGGGGCCAGCCGGCGGCGGCACCGCTGGCGTCCGCCCGAGACAGCTCCGAGGAGGGGGCCCGTCTCTGCTGCTGCGCGGGGCGGGCCCCGCCAGAGTGTGTTCGGCGGTGCGCGAGGGGGGGCAGCGAGGAGGAGGAGGAGGAGGAGGAGGAGGAGGAGGAGGAGAAGGAGGGGGAGGAGGAGGCCTCCTCACGAGGCGGCCGTGCTTCTCAGAAGGCCTCCGGCCCTCTGGAGCGGTTTTCGGCCTCTTCGGGGGAGGCTCAGCTAACCTATCTCAGAGAGGCCTGGGGACTTACGAGCCCTCTGAGAAGGTCTTCTCCTTCTCACTTCCTCCCCCCTGGCCACGCCGCCGAGTGCTGCTGATCTTGACGACGGGGCCAGCGTCGTAGGCCCAGCTGAAAGAGTTTCTGCAGACCTGCCTCTTGGCTGGTCTCAGCCATGGCGCCGTTGAGGAGTCCGAAACATGCCCGCTTGGCGCGAGAGAACGCGACGTTGGAGAGCCGGGGGCACGCGGTGAATCCGAGAATGCAGAAGGCGTTGGAGGCCGCGCCGGAGACAATGACTAGTGACTAGGTCGGCATCTTCCCCGTGCATCTGATTGACGGTGGGGGCCCGGCAGTGGGGCCATCTTCCTTCGATCCTGTTGAAGGAGTCGGTGGCCTGTGAGGGCACGACGGAGCGACAACAGGCCGAGGGAGGCGGCAAGAGCCTCCGCGGCAGCGGTAACCTCTTGCAGATGATCTCGACCTCTAGCCTGCACGGCATGAGGTATACCACCTTGGTACCTGTTCCGTCGAGATGCGGAATGACACTCCCGAGGTGCCAGGCGACTTCGTTAGGGATTGTCACGGCTCCCGCCACGGGGGAACTCAACCGACGGGACATGCGCAATGCGGAAGCGGTCGCGGTCGCGAAGGGTGGAGGCGTGTCGGCCGTCGAAGCAGAGCTGCGGTGGGGGCGGCGCCGCGGGAACCGAGGCGGGCCCTGCCATGGCAGCCGCAGGGGGGCCAGTCCACGCCACCGATAGGTAGCCCGCGGCAGAAGGTCTGAAACGGCGAGGGGGGCGGGGCTGCACCTGAGGAGCGGCACCCGCAGCTGGGGCGGGGGTCTCGTCGATGACGCACATACACACACCTTCATCGTGGCGTTGCGGCCACGCGCGCGGCGGCGCGGCGTAAGAAACACACACACACACCAGGTGCCGTGATAGGGGCCAGCGACATCTCCCCATCCCTCGGCGGCGATGGCGATGGACACGCAGAGGGAGAGGAGGTACATGACGCGCAGAACGGAGGAGCAGGACGAGGACGGACAGGACAATGGTAGGGCCTGGACGGGACGTAGGGGACAGGACGACGAGCCCGAGGACGCGGAGGATGACGATGCTGATGAGCGAGGGGGGTGCTTCATTGGGACTGGCTGAGTACGCACGGAGGCAGGCGGATGAACGAGGAGGGGGGGGATGGGATGAACGCGGGGAGAGGAAGGCGTGAAGGAGGAGGGATGAGGCAGGCGAGGAGGAGAACTAAACAATGACACGAGGCGGCCGAGGACACCGCCGCCCCTGAGATCAGATGTCCCAACAAAAATGCATCATCGCAGAACAGATCGCAAAGGCGCCTTAGACCCTACGCTCCTGCATCATCCTTCGAGCTGGATCGACCTGCGAGGGTCCCGGGGGCCGAAGCTGGGCACAACCGCCCCCGTGCGAAACAATTGCAGCGCCGGCATCTCAGGAACACACGAGGCGTCCGAGGACGCCGCGCGGCGGTGGCAACGACGCCGGCGGCCGGCGGCGGGCGGCGGGCGGCCGCGGCCGCGTACGCGCCGCCTTCATGTGGCCGGCCATGGACCCCTCGCCCGCGGCGCCCTCTGCGGTGGCCGCGCTGTCGCCGGGGGCGCCAGCGCCCTGCAGAGAGACCGGCGCCAGGCGGGGCCCTGGCATTGCTCGGACGTCCACGCCCCGTGCACTTTTCGGTTTCGCGCGTGCTGTTTCCTGTCGCAAGATGCTTCCAGGATGCTCCTCGATTCCTCAATGGCCCCCAGCGAGGAAAGATGCGCACGTCCGAGCGATGCCAAGGCGGGCAGTGCAGCGCCGAGGGCGCCGCCGAGAACGGCGGCGGGCGGCGGCGACACGGGAGGGCCCTGAGATCCGCGCGTTGCAAATGGATGTTTCACACCGGGCGGCGTCTTCGCCGCAGCATTCCGGGCCCCGGCGCCATCACAGATCGTTGTGGCTCGAAGAATGCCGCAGACAGATGGGGTCTACAGCTGAGGTCGTGATTTTTCGCAGCGTGATATTTTTTCGTAACGTCCGATATCCGGGGGGACGGCCGAGGCGGCGGCCACGACGCCGAGCTCCGCCCAGTTGTTTTTTGCAGCCGGGGCGTCTTTCCTTCGATCCCCGCCTCTATAGGGACGGTTCTCAGGCCACCAGAAGACCTCTATAGGGCCTCTAAGGGGCCTCGACGGGGCCTCTACATGGCGTCAAAATGGCCTCTGCAAGGCGTTTTCAAGTTTGATTTCGGCCTGTAGAAGGCTGATTCTCAAGCCGCGGAAGCCATCAAAAACGGATCCGGGACAAGGAACGGCCCCCACGGAAGCGGTCAATCCATCTGGGACCGTGGATGTAAAACAAACAGCGGGGCGGATGTCAGGGGTACGAACGAATGACCACCGCTGTGGACAAGGGTCCGAGCCTAGCTCAGACCATGCGGGCCAGGCCGTGGCATGGGGACTCTGGCGTGTCTGGCCACATGCACTGCGAGACATATTGTAAGGTAGGAGGGGAGGAGGAAGTGGAGGAGAAGGGGGAGCAGGAGGAGCAGGAGGAGGAGGGTTCATTTCGGAGATGAAAACGTTCGGTTTGAAAATGTTTGAAAGTTATGACAGCAGTAAAAGATCCAATACGGATCGGCGTGAAACAGTAAGATATTGAAGCATCTTTCAATCTGGAATACCCGGAACCATGGAACATTTGAAGAATCTTTACATCCAGAGGGTCCGGATAGAAAGCATCAGAAATCTGTCAATCCAGAGGCTCCAGATTGACAGGTAGACAGATTGATCGACCGGATGGAAAGAATCAGAGATCCGTCCATCCAGAGGCTCCAGATTGACATATTGATAGGTTGATCGATCTTTCAAACCAGCGGATCCGGATTGAAATATTGAAGATCGGTCAATCCGGCACACCCAACGTGAAAGATCGAGAGAGTGGAACGTCTTTCATTCTTTGATTCTTTCAATCCACCACCGTGCCCTGAGAAAAGAGGATCCTGCTGGAAAGCTCTTGCACTGTTCTACATGGGAGCATCGTGATTGAAACATCATTCAATCTTTCAACTCGGGCCCCGAAGATAGAGGAAAAGGAGGAGGAGGAGGAGGAGGATCGGCGGCGGCGGCGGCCACGACGATGAGGGCGACGGCCAGGACGACGGTGTCCGCGGCGGCGGAGGTGGCGGCGGCGACGGGGGCAACGGCGTCGGCGGTGGCAGCAAGGACGGCGCAAACGCCCACGGTGAAGGCCAGGGGGGCGGCGACGAGGTCAGGGGCGAGGACGTCGACGAGCACGATAGAAGGGGGGAGGGGGGGGGCACCGATGGAGGGGGGGGCGCGGGGACACAGATCCGGGACGAATGACTTCCTCAGGTGAAACGATCGGGGCCTTTGGGGCTGCAGATTGAAACACAAAACGGCGGATATCTCGAGAGCGCTGCTGGATAGGGGGTTGGGAGGGAGGGGCGGGGGGAGGGGGAAGGACGACGACAAGGGGAACATCTGGTCGTTCCTTCTCCCTCGCCCCCCCCCTGGGGCTGCAGGGAAGTATCCCGCCCCCAGGGGACATCCTGGTTTCCGTGCCACTATGGAGCTCACGAATTTGATCCCCCAACCAAATTTTCGTCGTGAGTCATTGTTTGACCGTCTCGTGGCCACAAGCTGGCCTCAGAAGGTCCACATGGGGGGGCGAAGAGTGGGCGGCCCTCGCGACCTGTTCGGCGCGCCGAGGTGCCTGGGCCCAGCGGGGGCTCTGGATGGCTCTGGCCCTCCCTCCTCAGGAACCGACCCCGCACTCGTCCAGAGGCGCGCTCCGGCCGGGATGTCGAAGCGGCTCCAGCCGTGGCGACGAGGGCCTCCTGAGAATCTCGGGCAAAAACGGAAACCTGGAAAGGGTGGCGGTATCGGTGCTTGCTCCTCGTCTGATCTTGCACTGGATCCACAAGCCCCGTCAGCACAGGGGGCAAGGCTTCACAGAAGCCGGCGGAACCTCGCAGAAGCCCCCCCAGGTTCTGAGCAGCCCCCTGCGGCTCCGAAGAGGGCCCGGGAGGCCTCGCAGAAAGCAGAAGGCCGGAGGCCCCGGAAGGCTGGAAAGCCCTGAGCCTTCTGAAAGCGCCCGCCCCCTCTTGAAGGGGCCCCAGGACACACAAATGAATACACACAAATAACAGGATTCCCAATATGTTCTCATATTGTCAATTTTCGGGGGAATCGACGATTCATTGTGTCTGTGTGTGTTTTCCCCTCCTGACCTCTGCGCTTCGCCCCTGGGCGCGCCGCCCATCGTCGATCGCCGACACCCTCCCAGCCTGGGGGAAACGGGTCCCCAGGGGAGCGGGCCCTGGGCCCCAGGGGTCCTTGAGGTCTTCGCCCCGAAGCGTTGCCTGACAGTCCCGGGGGCCCGTGGGGGGGGGGCCCCGAGGGCCCGCAAACAGTGGAAAACCTCAGGCCCGTCTCTCTCGGGGGCGGGCGGGGCCAGGAGGGCCAGGAGGAGGGAGGAGGAGGGAGGGGGAGGGAGGAGGAGGGAGGAGGAGGGAGGAGGAGGGAGGAGGAGGAGGAGGAGAGGCGCCAAGGCCCGAAGGCCGGGCAGGCAGCCCAGGACCCGCGGCCGCGCCCAAGCGCGGCGCCACCCGCGCCCGCGTTCCGCGGCCCCGCAGCCGCAGCCATAGTCGCGGGGAACCCCAACCCGCGCCCAGCACCCAGCCTCGCGCCGAGGCCAGGTGGCCCATCAAGGACATCGACGACACGTGCGGATATCGGGCCTGGAGTGCCAACACCTGCCAGAACCAAGCGGCCGAGGTCGCCAGCCTGGCACAGGAGATCAAGAAGGGCAAGGGCATCAGCCAGAGTATTACTACGGTTGCACAAAGCCTCACATTTATTACGGCATCATCATTCTGCAATGGCCTCACACGGAGAACGCCGCCACCGTTCCAGCTCAAGAAGGCAGAGACAGCAGTCGCAGACACGAGGACAACAAGAAGCGATGGGTGGACGGCATGAAGGCAGATGGAAATGCAACACTTGTGGATTGTCAAACCCATGGTCTTGTGACAGGTGTTCATGCTGGACAAAAGGGCAGGCTGGACAACGACAACATACGCCCAGAAGCAGCAGACACAAGACAGACAAAGAAAGAGCCCCTCCCAAGCGCTCGGCCGAGCTGCAGAAGTTGATAGATGGGGTGCCTATAGCTACGCCAGAGGAAGCGAGATCATCAAGGGACTACGAGGACCCCCCCACGGACCAGAGTGCTGCACGGGCATTCCGATACAGAATATACGCCAAGCAATCTCAGCTTGGTATGGCCGCCTTGTCAGGCAGGAAAGCGCAGCTGGACGTCAAAGAAACAGAGTTCAAGATCGCGGTCATGAAGTACATCATTGACATAATGCGTCCAGCTGCGGCACGTGTGGAGGGACACAGAAAGCACCATGAGGCCCTGAAGGAGCAGTACAAGATGAAAGTCAAGCAGGCCAAGAAGATCAACGAGGAGCTGGACGACCTGCAGTACCAGATTGACAGGGCCCACGAAGCGCTGGTGGTGGCCATCAACGACAGGGACGGCGAGGAGGAAGAAGCAGAAGGTGAAATGGACGATGAACAAGAAAAAGATCTGGACGATGAAGTTATGCAAGTAGAACCAAGGCTGGGAAGGCCTAGACAGAATATACAACGGCGCACATTCCCAGCAGGAGGATTGCCACCATCAAGTTCTGCATACGGCTCCGAGGTAGCAGAGACTCCGCACAAAGATGGACACGTTGAACAGATACAGCAATTGATGCAAATGGTGGCACAACAGACAGTTGAGAATGGCAAGTTACAAGCGCAGCTACGAGACACACAAGCGGAGTCACAAGCAGCAAAGGCCTTCTACGAGCAACAGGCTGTATACCATCAGTACTACATCAACAAGATGACCGAGCAGCAGGAGAAGATGATGAGCCAGATTGTGACGGAAGGCACGGAAGTGGATGCGACAAGAACCCAACCGTCACCCTCAACTCCAACAGAGGATTACTTCGCTCCACAGGAGCGGCAGCAGGTCATCGACCACAAGAAGTGGCTTCAACAAAGCGCAGCGGCGGCAGCACAAGCACATGCAGCAGCAGCAGCAGTCGGACAACTTCCGATCATCGACACAGGGGCTGCAGAAGTCGCAGCTCGACAAGCAGCATACCAGGTCCATCTGCAAGAAGCCGCCCAAGCTGCAGCCCAGAAGCAAGGTACGAAAGAAGAACTTCATGCAGAAAAACAGGCAGCCCAGCGTGCAGAACAATGTGACAATTTCAACGTCCCCGCAGCCCATCAGCCAGTACCCGACGACAATCACGACCTAGAGGCCGACAATTGGGATGAAGTGCAGGCCAAGCGAGTGGAAGAGCGCACACTGTATGAGGCTCAAGAAGTGACCGACCAAATGGTACGCAAGATAATCAAAGAGGAGGCTGAGGCCATGATGGCAGAGAACAGTCAAGGTACGCATCTTCATGAACAACGGCAAGAACCAGTACCCCAGACGCCAGTGGCGACACAGCCACCAGCATCAGCATGGGAAGTTGGCCCCCTCCTCGGTGACAATGTGGACAAAGAGCAGTATGCGGCAGCCCTCAGGATGAGGAACCTGGA